CAGAGCAGTGAGAAGACATATGTTACGACATGTTAACATTTCGACACATTTCATTGACATTTCGACACCTAATGTTTCTGCAGCCGGATAAGGGATCAGGCATTGTGATAATGGACCGGTCTGACTACGTTGCAAAGATGGAATCTATTTTGCGGGACAGACGGAAATTCCAGTTAGACAAGACACCAGAAAACAACATATTGGTCGAGAAGCAAGTGGCGAGGAAACTACAGATTCTCTTACTACATGGTTACATCAATGACTCGCAATACAGACGGTTGAAACCGACCGGCACTCAGACACCCAGAATGAGGGGCGCCCCCAAATTAAACAAGGCAGGTAACCCACTGCGCCCGATTATGTGTATGAACAACTCACCGTATCACAACGTTGCGCGGTGGCTAGCGAAAATGTTGGAGCCAGTACGCAAACTCCTGACTACATATTGTCTAAAGGACTCCTTTGAATTGGTCGAGACACTGGAACATGTGTCGCTGGGTGCGGAACACATGTACTCAGTAGATGTCGACTCCCTGTTCACAAACGTGCCTCTACGTGAGACGGTTGAAAATTTGTGTGATTTCATCGCGAGTCAAAACATGTCTGTTGGCCTGCTGTTGGAGTATTTGAGGGATATGATTCTATTGTGCAAGGAAAATATACGGTTCGAGTTTGAGGGGACTGCTTATAAACAGATCGACGGCAGCGCCATGGGTAGCCCTCTGGGACCAGTACTAGCAGACATTTTTCTCGGTTTGATAGAAAGACAAATTACTGCCAGCATTTGTGAAGCTACGTTGTACAAGCGGTATGTGGACGACATCCTAGTCTTCACCACCGACGAACATTTTGCGCGGCTGTTGGAAGCTCTGAATTCAATTCATCCAAACCTATCGGTGTCCCATGAGTTGGAGCAACATGATAGTATGCCATTTTTGGATATACTCATTAAGAGACGGACTGATGGTACACTGCAACGTACGGTTCATCGCAAGGCAACTTGGAGTGGGCAGTACCTCCACTTTTCCAGCTTTGCCCCGGTCGCATACAAACGTGGCCTAGTGAAAACGCTTTTCTACAGAGCCAGAGGAATATGCAGCCCCGAAATGTTGCAAGCTGAAGAAGAATTTTTGTTCAAAACCTTGGTGTCGAATGGGTATCCTGAGAAGTTCGTTCAGATCCACAGCAGGCCTCCCAAGGAGAAAATACCGGTGTTAACCGCAGAGAAAAAGAATGTTTACTTGTTCCTGCCGTTCAAAGGAGACCACGTATCAAATGATATCGGACATAAACTCCGGTCCGCCGTTACGCGCACCTACGCGACCGCCCAGTTGCGACTCATTCATACAACGCGAAGCCTTGTTCTTCATGACCGTCAGAGCAACTCATCAGTCAGTTCGGCCTCTCATGTCGTTTACCAGTTCACCTGCGGTTGCGGTGACATTTACATAGGCAGGACTGACCGTCAGTTAGCTCAGAGGGTAGTTGAACATGTGCCGAGGTGGTTGGAACAACTGATGACGCAACAAAACGGAGTGCATCCGAGGATGAACCGGAGTCCCGCATCGTCTATCACCAAGCATCTCTTGGCAACCCGACATCAGGTGAACCCGGATACTGCATTCAAGGTGTTGTTACGTAACAACAATCCGCTAATCTTGGCAATCAGTGAAACCTTGTTAATTAGGGCTTATCAACCTGTGTTGTGTGCACAGAAACTATTGAGACAATCAATTAAGTTACCGTGGTCTTGATTTTAACATTTTGATTGGTGTATCAACCTTTTCCCCCTGTATATAACTGTCCATGAATCCCGCTTGTATTGTGTTTTGCGACTGATGAGAACAATCGAAATGTTAACATATCGCAAAATATGTCTTCTCACTGCTCTGACTAAACTTTGAGATGGCAATTGCGTTGCATTGCGACCGTTGGCAAGAAGACCATCTGTCGCAAATCGGCTCTATAACCCGCACCTATGTGCACAGAAAATCTCGTCCATACTTTAACCCTGCGTTGGCCTCAGATCAACGCGACTAACAATGGCAGTCACGCCACTTCACCTGATCTCGCCTCAACCAGACCAAGCACGTAGACTTATCGATTAGTTACTCTGATTCAGTGACCCAAGTTAAACCCATTATGTCTATCCTATATTGCTTTATTGTGGATGTATTAGCCTGATGATGAAGCCCTGAAAACAAGCTTGTTCCCTACTTTCTCTTTCTGATGTCACCTACGGGAATTATTTGTTAATTGAAACAGTCCAACACTCCCACCTGAAAACTGCCGAATCACAGTCTCCGTTAGCCTCTCTGATCTAACCGTGTCGCTGGAAAATGCCGTTGAGGAAAACTAACTGCAACATTGCAGGTAGACGCATATTTGACGCGTCCAGTAAAATCCAAACTGACATGCAGCTCTGCCTATCCCAAGCTGCCATAAATGTCCAGGAGTTGCTGACATCACAGGCTAGCTGGTGTTGTTGAAAGCTACTAGAGTGCTAGACCTAAACCAGTTCATCACCTTGCCCAGTGATCCATGCAATTATGCCAATGTTTCAGGCCTGACTGGCTCCCCGGCTCTGGCAGCCCAATGGTTGATCTATCGAAAAGTAGTGAAAGAACTGCATAGAAATAAGTGTGAAGACACGCTGGCCTTCCGGTGCGGGATGCATGAAAGAAGTACACAATAGGTAAACATCGTCGGCCCTTATCTATACATTCCTGGGAATTCGGTAGACGCTGAACGGAGCTCTAATGCCTAAAAAATGTATCTGACTAGCGTCAGACAGTAGCACAAAACACTCTACTGGGCTTTATTTTAATTCCTTTGTTTTGAATCATGACTGACATGTATATAGTGGATGAAGGTGCCTCGATTTCCGTTTATTTTCATTTTCGCCGTAACATCGTGGAATTTACGCCGCAGAAATTTCGCGTAATGTCCGATTTCGATCGCAGAAAAAATGTTCCACCATAACGAAAAACTGGGGTATTTAGTCTCAAGACGGGTACATTGGGTCAAAAACTCGAACAGAGGTGAAATTACTAGGAGAGAAGGAATGGTTGGAGCAGAACAAACCGGGAAGGTGAATGAGCACGCAGGGCATTCAGACAGTTCAGATGGAATCAACGATGAAGACAGGCTATTAGGCGCCGTTTCGACAATCGATGACAATCACCAGGGTTGTCCACAATCACTTCATTATTTCCATCCAAGCTCATTAGAGATTCCGTCAAAAGGTATTTTATCTCGCACAGTCTCATGACGACGTAGAACGCGGTGACCTGGAGTATCCGAACATCGCCCGACTTTTGAAAAGGAGGTAACTTCTCCATATTGATTGCATCATTTCGCGTGCGATCTGCACCCTTCAAGGTATACAGCACCTTGCTGCAGGATGAGCACAGGCAACTGCTGGCTCTTCGGCCATCGATCACGAAGGACGGGAATTCGCCTTGGTGGCTTTGCATTAGCGATGACGGGCGATGAAAGCATTTCACGTATGGCAAAAGGTAGAACAATCTTTATAGATTTAACGTCATATTTAGCGTCAGAGAAGGGTTTTTCGTGATCGTAAAGACCGTGCATATTGGCCACAGCGAAGGGCCGCTCTGCTCTGTGGAAGTGAGACTTGATTAGGACAGAGGTTTAACGTAATTGACAATCACTCCCAACGAAGTATCATTGGTGTCGAACGGCGACAATGTGTTCGCGATGTTGTGGTGTTCTGAAGTGAGTACTAAGCAGTGATGACGCAATCAGTTCGATAGACCGATGGGTACAACGGAACGTGTTGCGTTGTCTCCGACATGTACTACATGTTCCTAGCCACAAGCTATCGGTGGTAATTTGGGCTAATTTACAGAAAGCTACAAGGTGTATACCTGAAAGTAAGGGAAACGATTCCGGTCAACCGAGAAGTAACTCTCAGATATGCACTGGAGCAGTGGAGAACCGCGTCCCCAGGTTCAGGTATTTCTTGTGGAAGTGACTGTGAATAAGTGTTGATTGTTTCGAAGGTTGCGCGGTGGTGACATTCGTCATTTGTCCTCAATAGATGGAGATATGGGTTCATCGCTTTCTATATATATATATATATATATATATATATATATATATATTTGATTGGCGGCATCCGGTTTCGGATTTGCCTGTCACTGTGGGAAGCCACAGGACGCCTGCGCCTACAGAGGGACCACGGGTGGCTTGCGCTGCACCACCCACAGTTACATCCACACACCCCCATATCCAGTGTAAACCCGAAGGAATAAGACCGGAAGGCATGTGCATGGGAGCCATGTCTCATCAACGGAGCCGGCCCATATTCCTTCACAGGCAAACACAAGCACGCTGTATTTGGGGAATCAACCGCACACAATTCGATGGCTGGACCGTAGTCCGCTCCACACTGAGTGCATGGAACCGCTCTTTGAGCCTCGCACGGCCACAAGGACCGTGCACCCCGTCCCCCCCAGCAACGACCAACTGTCTCCTGGAACCAGTATGGACGAGGTAGTGGGTAATAGACAGGTAGGCACCTTGTCAACATGCACATCAGGCGCAGACACACCGGGGATATCTAGCAACAGCCAATCACCTGGAACGACAAGATGAAATAAAACAAATCCAACAATGCATACAGATACGGTGGCATAACTCTTCGCTAAATTAGCATATGAAGTAAGTTGGTTAGCGACGAATCCGCGATAAGTAAGAAATGTCCACAAGTTAGTTAAAAATGCTACAAACGCAACAAAGTTACCGAAGATAAGCGCAATTAATGTAAGCAACGTGGCCAGTTAATAGAAGAGTAGTAGAGCAGGACGGAAAAAGACGTCCGAGGATTTCGGAACTATGTCAGCATCACACAGTAAGACCTAAATGAGAAAGGTAATGGGGCAGGACATGATTGATATCCTGTGAAGGATCCACAAGAAAGTATGTTACAGTGAATAGAAAACCAGAATAACATTGACAGACTGATGTGATAATACCTTGGTTGGATCGTGGTACCAAGCGCCATCGATAAAATATTTGTACTCGTGCTTGCCAGGTGTGCAATCGATGATCACATAGACACCGGATTCTCTATGGGAGCAAAAAAGAAGGGAAAGTTCACGAACAGTTTAAAATATGAAACGATTTCATGTGTGCTTTAGCAGAGAAAAGGCCGACTTTTTTACAATATCGAGTTAAAGTTGCAAGCATAGAGAAGATGAATACTAATAACCGACCCAGAAGTAAGCGTATTGGTGAACGTGCAAGTGATATTGCTACCATAGTGAATGTACCCCACGAAAGGTGTGATTGAGTACTAGCAGCCCTAAAACTATACAGAGACAACGTAATTGATGGCAAATGGGACTCCCAGAGGACGGTGAAGACACAATCCCAACTTGGGTTTGCTGACTGGATGGTATTGCTCACTCCGAAAGATTTGTGATGAGAATCATGAAAATGAGGCGGAGCTCCAAAAATCCGAATTCGGGAAGCGCTATCCTCTTGCAAATGTTTTTATCAGTGTTCTTTCGTTTCATATCCTTCTTACGGTCGCCATGATCACAGAAGCCATAATAACGATGTACCTAACTCATCTATAAGGTCAGGAATTAGATAACAGTAGGAGTCATCCATTCTGTTAGAACCCAAGGGGCAGACGTTAATTGTTTGTTGCTAAAGTGGCTTACACTAGGTGTGTTCCTTCATACCTTGGAGGCGTCCGCTCATCTGCGTGATCTCCATGGAGCGTTCCCCAACTGGTGCTTGCCTCTGTGTTCACTCCTCGTGCGCATGGAACTGTAATCCTGATGTCATCTTCAACTTTGGGGAAGTCGGCAGGGCTCGCTGTTGGTGTGTCATCTTGCACCACCACACTACTTGTACCCGGCGCAGTAGTATCTACTTTTAATCCACCACAATACTACCTTGTAGTAACAAGCTGATTTTTGTCCCAACCGTGGATGCGTGGATCAAATTTTTACGTTCTGCCAAATTGACCACAAGCCAACTATCGTCGCATTTCTAAACATACGGACTGTAGTTGGCTCGGTTGCTTGCTAAAGAATGGGGTACCAGAGAAGTATACCGCCATGCTACGTACACCCTGCCTGCATACGTCCTGCAGAGTAAAGGTCTACGGCAAGCTTTCCTCTAACTCTTCGTTGTTAACAACAGCAAGCGACATGGCTGCTCTATGTCTCCATTTCGCGTCAACTTCGCAATCAAGGACATCCTGTGTAGAGCTCTAGAAGATTTCCAGAATTGTAGCCTAGAGCTTCTACAGGGTGAGCGAGCGACCGACCGACCGATTTAGACTATGCTGATAATATCGCATTACTTGTGACGATCCAAAGAGTATGTAACACATTCTGAATCGTTTGGAGGTTGAAGCATCTAAGTATGACATGAGCTTCACCTCCTAGAATTGTAAAGTGCTGTCCCAGGATTGTCCCACATACGTTCCTGTGCTCACCCTTGAAGGTGTTCACAACATGAACAAGGTTTATAGTCCCTCCGTTGGTTTGTATGGGAGCGAATTCTGGTCAATTAACGTGAAGGATATGCATCGTCTCTACGTTCCAGAACAGTTGTTTGAGAAAGCACCGTTGCGGCGTACAGCTAGCGATTTAGTTATTTAATTAGCTTGGTGCTCAAGTCAACTACCTGAACTATTCAGCCAGCGGGTGGTATAGGAAGCGGAAAACGGTCCAGTACGTGTACGCATGAGGCGAACATTTAAAGTTTGGGAGTAAGCGCCCGCAATTTCTGTACATGCAGAAACGGCTGACTATAGTCCTAAGAGGTGTGTCATGGGCGGCGGTGTACTTGCGATTTTCGATACCCATGTCATAAGCAACATTACTCCGGAAATAACTCGCCCCTGGCGATCAAAATGACCAAGTTCCCCTTCAAAGCAAACCGAGATCCCATTAGAGATAGTGTATCGTAATCCAACCATACGGTGAGTACTCCAAATCCAACTTTGGACTCCTAGCCACTGTACCACGCATTGCGGTTGAGTCTCTGTGGTTTAGTGACCAGATCATCAGTCGTTAACTATTAGATTTACAACTACACTCGCACTTCAAGCTATCTTAAGGTGATGAGTCCAAACGAGGGCAAAACCGGTTATGGGGTGAAGTGTTGGGAGCACGAAGAACCCACCAACTCAACACAATGTACACAGAAACAGGTAATCGGAGTATGATAGAAAACACGCCACTGGCAGTGGCAAGGGAACATGTACTGCGTGGTGCATGGAACCCGGCACATTGGGTGTTGTGGTTTCCTCGGACTGTACGGATAACCTGCCAGAAGCTGCTGTGCCGCCCCCAACCAGTTCAACCCGCAACGAAAGGAGAACGCCAACAACCAGCCGGACCGAGAATTTTCTTTTTGCATGAGGGCATAGCGCAATGAATAGGTTGAAAGTAACTACCAACACAATAATCTTGGAATGCTAATTAATATTAATTAATACAACTCGAACGGTTCAATTTCAGGGTTCAACTTGTCGCTGACCCCATCTGGATTTGCGTCTGATCTCTGCTCCAGTCCGGCCTTCAATGTTGCGCTACAGTTCTCGGCTTGTACGCTGACCGTAAGCCGGCTCTCCGTAATAGTGGGCCACCTGAACCCCAGCACCGGAAGCGAGAAGGATCTGCAGCCGCCAGTGTGCTGGTAAACAACCAGAGTTTCAACGACGATTACCTCTCACGAACGTTAGAACACGTCACAGACACAGGAAACAGCGTCACGTATTCTACCTCATTTATTGATTAAAAAAACTGAAGCGAGCAGTGACGCAGTAGCAAAATGTACATTTCGTTATCGCGGACACACTGGTGCCAGCTGACACAAGCAGTGGCGCTGGAGAAAACGATGACCGGGAACCTGAACGTCATTGCATTGCCGAAGAGGACGATGGCTCAAAATGTGGCTTGTATGTACACGAGGGTGCACCGTTGGCGCTCCATTAGGAGAGTGAAAGCGTTATAGGATTACTAATGAGCAGGAGGATTTCTGATAAAATTTTACTGATTCGTCCCAGTAGATCACAAGCTAGATTGACTAGCTACCAGCCCGGAAAAGCACCATACGATCGTTTCGCCCTATTGGGGCTCACTAGCAGTGCGCATTCCCTCGATGTCATTCATGGGCCTGAACCCATGACCGCTAGTAGCTTGCGCCAACTAGCCAGTAGCTTATGCTAGTGAGCCATAGGGGACGGAGGCAGATTGTCATAAATTGCAGGCTATTTGGGATTGCCTTAGTAGACTAGGATGAAAACGATGTCTAGGCGGTATCAGTTTTCGCATAGACAAATTAGTGTGTCAGGCCTTTGTGAGGTTGGATGTACAGTTCGAACCCAAGTCACGTAGATACAGGGGTAAAGAGGTATCCAGCCAGCTAAGGCCAGACATGAGTGGTCAACAGGTGATACAAACAGATATACAGCCTGGTATCTGTGTGGATCCCATGCAGACATAAACGTGACAGTAGCCATACTGTGTGCATGCTAGTGCACGGGTAATATGCATCTGGCGTGACAGTCCCAGGAAATCAGAGAAATACATCACACGTGCAATCCATCTGACAGCCGTAAAAGGTTGTCTAGACGGACTGTCGAACGAGCAGAAGCGGTTCACTAGTGCCCGGACAGATGCACACGGAGATCCGGAGACAGTTGTGAGAGGAATGGAGGACAACAACACACAAAAGATGCAGGGGGCCGGCAAGCCAAATTCGCCAGTTTAGTACCAAAGTCACCTGACTACGACACATGAAATGGCAGTGGATGGAATCAGAGACATTGCGCTATAGGCAACAATGAGTGTGCTGCCATCTAGTGCCTCTGAACCAGTAAAGCAACGAGAGTGAAAAGGAGAGACAAGGAATAGACTAAACCATCCATGATGGTCATGTAATTTTGTGGGTCGAAGGAGACTAAGAAAAAGGGGATGCATTTGAATCGATGCGCGAACACATGTGAGACGATCACCTTAGTGTCTAGACACAGTACACTCATTATGGGATGAATTTGTGTGAATAGATAAAAGTGAATATCTAAATAACAATGTGTGGTTAAGATATTGTGCCATCGGAATTATGGCGGAATAGGAAAACAGAATTGGAATACAAGGAAAAGCAACATTTTATTGCAGTCTCCACTCAGTAATTGTGATGTTTGAGAGTTCGTTTCAGTAATGGATGTAGAGGGAACATTGCAACACGATGAGATACCCGTCCGTCACTGATGTCGGTCATGAGCCATGACTTTAAGGGTCTTCAATCAGTGACACTCCGGACCACAGGAACCCCAACCAAGCAGCCGAGGACAATCGATAGAGGCCAATTGTTTCGTTAGCCTTTTTAAGTTACATCCACAAGTTGTAGGCTATCCACCGTGTCGCCTTCTCCAGCATTGTCCAGCAATCTCGAATAACGCACGACGCAGAAGACGCTGTAAAGGCACGCGCAACTCGTGTCCAAGCCACCACAGTTGATGGAGTGAGATAAGCTCCTCGGGCGAGTGGCAGCCTCCACCCAAAACATGTGTAGCATCCACACTGCTTAGGTAGTGCATATATCACACAAGGGCAATGGACCACAAGCAACGGTCCTCAAAAATAGACATTCGGCGCAAGTTATCGGTACGAACACGCCAGGTGTCACAACCGCACCATAGTACAGCGCAGACAGTTGCACAATAAACCCGCCCTTTGATAGAGAGACGGAACTCACGTTGACGCCATAGGTGCGTCAGCCTAGTGAAAGCTAGACGAGATCTTGAAACGCGCACCTCGTCTCGAACAGCCCCACCAGCAGTGATGCACCACCAATGGTGAGTGTGCAGGCACAGGCATCTGCCAGTCTTGAAAGAGAGCTTCGCACTTGGATATGGACCAATCATTATCAAGTAATTCGAACGATTGTGTATTTCGTGTAATATATATATATATATATATATATATATATATATATATATATATATAAACTGTGGTACAGATATTGTGCCATCGGAATCATGGCTGAATGGGAAAACAGTATGAATAAGAAGAAAAGAAACAACAGCAAAAGCCTTTTTG